CAACCAACTAAGCACTCAATAAGAAATAATCTCAGAACAATTTATTCTATCATAACTAATCCCAACATAACTTATCCCACATAACTCATATTCAAACCAAATGACCCCTTAAAAACATATAATAAATTTTGTGGAATCGAATATTTTATTTCTTTCATCTTAATAGTACTTTTGGTTTACTATTCTAAATGCAGAAAATAACAAAAAGAAAAATACTTTTTGTGAGAAAATTTTAAATTTTAATTTATTTTAAGGGTGTGCATTTAACAGAATTAGTTCAAAGTAGACGTGAGAGAAGAGAAATAAAAAGCAACCAAGTAAAACAGTCAATTGGGTAATAAGGAGCATGTGGCTTAAAAAAAACTAAATAACTTCTTTTTTTAAAAAAAAAAAAAAGGACAAAGGATCAAATATGCCCCTAAACTATTCGAAAAGGTCTAGATATACCCTCAGTTTAAAGTTTGGCTCACTCATGCCCTCGCCGTCCAACTTTTGGTCTAAATATGCCCTTATGGGCGTTAGTTGGCCTGCTGGACATATCCAACTTATTTTTCATTTCCTTAAATGTCACATGGAATTGCCATGACATTTTGACTTTACCACATGACATTTATATGAAAATGGAAAGAAATCAATTATACCCCTAAAAAACTCAAACCCATAAACACCTAATCCGACCAATAAATCAACCCCCCCTTTTAAATAAACTGCCCGACCCATTTTCAACAATTTTGTTTAAATTATTATTTTTTTCGGTAAATCCCGAAAATTAGTAATTGATTAATAAAAACTAGGAAAAATATGAAAAAAATATAAAATTAATGCCAAAAATTCACAAATAAATATTGTAACCTTAAATTCAACAATTTCAACAATTTTTTAAAATTTTTATTTTTTTCGGTAAATCCCAAAAATGAGTAATTGATTAATAAAAAATATAAAATTAACGCCAAAAATTCACAAATAAATATAGTAACCTTAAATTCAAAAATTTCAACAATTTTTTTAATTTTTTTAAAAATAAATTACTCATTTTCGAAATTTGCTGAGAAAAATAAAAATTAAAAAAAAATTGTTGAAATTTTTGAATTTAAGGTTACTATAATTGTTTGTGATTTTTTGGAGTTAATTTTATATTTTTTTTTCAGATTTTCCATATTTTTTATTAATCAATTATCATTTTCGGGATTTACCGAAAAAAATAAAAATTTTAAAAAATTGTTGAAATTGTTGAATTTAAGGTTACAATATTTATTTGTGAATTTTTGGCGTTAATTTTATATTTTTTTTTCATATTTTTCCTATTTTTATTAATCAATTACTAATTTTTGGGATTTATCGAAAAAAATAAAAATTTAAACAAAATTGTTGAAAACGGGTCGGGTAGTTAATTAAAAAGGGGGTTGATTTATGGGTCGAATTAGGTGTTTATGGGTTCGAATTTTTTAGGGGCATAATTGATCCCTTTCCATTTTCATATAAATGTCATTGGTAAAGTCAAAATGACATGACAATTCCATGTGGCATTTAAAGAAATGAAAAATAAGCTGGATATGTCTAGCAGGCCAACTAACGCCCATAAGGGCATATTTAGACCAAAAGTTGGACGGCGAGGGCATGAGTGAGCCAAACTTTAAACGGAGGATATATCTAGACCTTTTCGAATAGTTTAGGAGCATATTTGACCCTTTACCCTTAAAAAAAAGCATGTGGCTTGAAATGATATATATATTATTTGTTTGGTAGAAAATTTAAAAATATACATAGAAGTTATTAAAACATAAAAGTCTGATTAAAAAATAATTATATGATTATAAATTATTTTATTAAATAAAAAATAGTTTTTCTTATATAAATTAAAAAATAAAATATATCACGAAAATTGTGAATTTGTGATATCTAAGTACTTTTTTTATTTTTATTTTTTGTGATATCTAAGTGTAACTAACACTCTTTTTAAGAAGTTGAGAAGTACAAGCATTATTTATGTTGGAAAATATCTTGAAATTTGAATTTGTGGTGTGAATGTGTCGATAAATAAAATAATAAAGTCACACTAAAATAATATTCTTTTAGTAGTTATGCCCCTTATGGAAATCAGTTGATGTGTACATTTCGACCTCTCATGACACGTTATATGGAACAAAAAGATAATAATTTTTTTTTTGTTTTTGCTTCAATCAACAACCCATTTTATGTCTTCGTCTATATAGATTATTGTGTGTGTTTTAATTTGTGTGATCTCATTCGAATTTGAATCAAATAATTACTTTTTATAATAATTTTTTTTATGTCTTTTAAATAAGTATTTTGACGCTAAACTTAAAAGTTTTGACGTTTGAAATCCAATAGTGACGGATTGGTGTATTGTTAAATTATAAGTGGCTTAAGGTTATTGTCCCAGTTGGGTAAATTGGTGAGGCCAAGTGGCAAAAAGTTGTGTGACGGAGGTCTTAAGTTTGCCATTTGCTTGAACTTGTCGCACTGAACTTTCTCATATAATTTGCAAACTATCGCATAGAAGCGGGATTTTACCCATACACATCCAAAGTAGCAATTCCTTGTCATTAAAAAAAAGTTGTGTGTAAACTACCAGGTCATCACTGGGACATTCAAGGTCAAAAGTCCCTTTTTTTCAAATTGTTTTTATTTATTTATTGTGTGTGTCTGTCTATAGTATAGGTCGATGCATATGGTTTTAGTATTACACATTCACTGCAACTTCCTTATTATTTCCATCTAAACAACCATTAGGGGCCCAAATGGACATGAGAAATAAGGCTGAGATTCTTCTCTATATAAACACAACTATGAGCTGCATCTTTTACACAAATTCTATAGCCTATCTTTGCAAACCTTTTCCAAAACAGACCATTTTATTAGTGTATCAAATTGAAAAACAATTCAACTTTGCACTTATAATCCCATGGATAATTTACCTAAATGTGGAGCTAATTATGTGCCTCTTACTCCTCTCACCTTCTTAACAAGAGCCTCCAATTCTTATGCCAACCGCACCTCTATTATTTATGCTAATGTTCGCTTCAATTGGAGGGAAACCCATGAACGTTGTTGTCGCCTTGCTTCCTCCCTCCGCTCCTTAAACATTGTCAAGAACGACGTGGTAAGTGTATCGATCCTTTGAGTAATTCTTATATATGTGAGATTATGGTCATATGTGTTAATGAGGTTTAATTTTATAATCATGTAGGTCTCGGTCCTTGCACCAAATGTACCGGCCATGTTAGAAATGCATTTTGCTGTGCCAATGGCAGGGGCTGTGCTCAACGCCATCAATACAAGGCTGGACGCTAGAAATGTTGCTCTAATTCTCAAGCACTCGGAAGCCAAGATCTTTTTTATCGACTATGAATACATCGACAAAGCTAAAAAGGCCATTGAAATACTAATGTCTGACTTTCAAATGCCAATGCCTCTCGTTGTTGTTATTGATGACCTCGATTCCCCTACTGGAATCCGGTTAGGGGAGCTCGAGTACGAGCAATTGGTGTTCCAAGGAAATCCTAAATATGTCCTTGAGAATATTGATGATGAATGGGATCCAATTACTTTGAGCTATACATCAGGTACAACTTCAGAGCCAAAGGGAGTTGTGTACAGCCACAGAGGTGCTTTTTTGAGCACTTTGAGTTTGATTTTGGGATGGGAGATGGGTACTGAGCCTGTCTACTTATGGTCCCTCCCTATGTTTCACTGCAATGGTTGGACTTTCACCTGGGGAATAGCTGCAAGGGGTGGGACCAATGTTTGTATCCGCAATACAACAGCCCAAGAAATCTACTCCAACATAGCGTTACACAAAGTAACGCATATGTGTGCTGCACCTATTGTTCTCAACATAATCCTTGAGGCCAAGCCACACGAGCAGTGTCAAATAATGACCCCAGTACAAGTTTTGGTGGGGGGTGCACCCCCACCAGCACCCCTGCTTGAAAAAATCGAGAGGGTGGGGTTCCATGTGGTCCACGCCTATGGGCTAACCGAGGCTACTGGACCAGCCCTGGTGTGCGAGTTTCAAGCCAAGTGGAACAAATTACCCTGGGAAGAACAAGCCAGGTTAAAGGCAAGACAAGGGCTGGGCATACTAACACTTGCTGATGTTGATGTGAAGAACTTCAAGAATATGGAAAGTGTGCCTCGTGATGGGAAAACAACAGGGGAAATATGCCTGAGGGGAAGCAGTATCATGAAAGGGTACTTAAAGAATGAAAAGGCAAATTCACAAGTATTCAAGAATGGTTGGTTTTTCACAGGGGATATGGGAGTGATTCATCCAGATGGGTATTTGGAAATCAAAGATAGATGCAAAGATGTGATCATATCAGGTGGAGAGAACATTAGCAGCGTAGAAGTAGAAAGTGCAATAATGAAACATCCATATGTAGTAGAGGCCTCTGTTGTGGCCATGCCACATCCAAGGTGGGGTGAAAGTCCATGTGCCTTTGTTATATCGAGGAAAGACTCCAACTTGAAAGAATCAGACATCATAGCACACTGTAGGAAGAACTTGCCGGGATTCATGGTACCAAAGAAGGTTCAATTTGTGGAAGAATTGCCGAAAACAGGAACAGGGAAAGTGCAGAAGAATCATTTGAGAGCAGTGGCAAAGACATTTGTGGTGTCTGATCAAACAAGCAAAAAACCAAACCAAGTCAAAAGGGAAAATCCTCGAGCATACGATCAAAGTCAGGAGCAGATTCTTGCTTTGTCTCGTCTTTAGTGATATAACTTTTTAAAAAGATTATAACACCACCTTCATATTCATATAACTGTCAAATTCATAGAATAAGACACATTTTAGCAGAACTAGTGCCTCGCAAATTAACAAGTATTACTGTATTTAGCATGTACGTTATTTATTCTATTTGCCATGTAATTTAATCATATTTGTAATTAAGAGGTATTGGTTATTGCGGATATGTAACATGTCGTGATGGTACAAAAATATTTTGAATACATCGTCAATGCGCAGAGAACTTAAAACCCATAGTTCAAATTATTTTATTTTTTGGTCTGATTACAACACAACACAATGAAACTAAAAACGCTTCAATTCCAAACCAAATTAATTAGATAGACAGAGTCGGCTATATGAATTCTCATTATCCATGCCACTCGTAACAGAATAATCTAGTTGAAATCACGGAGTTGCTTAAACTTTTACTTCATCTTTAGCTGGGCCGGGTAACATCTCTGATTTCTTCATATTCATGAAGTCCAACACTTTGTTCCAAGAAGGCCTACTTGAAATATCCAAATACCAATCATGTAAACACTTCCTTTGAGTCACCAAATGTGCAAAGCCACCTTCATTCATCAAAAATCTAAGGCTAGGAAGGTGGCTTAGATCAGCTAAGGAGAAAAAATCTCCTGCTAAGTATTTACTCTTGGACAACCTTTGTTCATAGATATCAAACACTTTTTCTAAATTGTTGGCACATTTTTGTACCACGATCAAGTCACTGTTGTGTCCCATTTTAGGGAATACGAGGAGTTGGAGTACCATGTTGTATACCAAGTCATTGTAGTTGTTCGATTCCACTTCTAACCATTGATCTACTAGAGCTTTTTCTTCCAGTGTGGTTCCTGTTAGTTTCTTTCCCTTGTCTTCATATTTTGCTGCATAGTATCTTATTATTGCTCTAGATTCTGGAAAAAAAAATCAAAATCAAATTTTAGATGTTTAACATTTTTTAAATAAAGAAAAGACCGACCTAGCTCAGCCCACATACGCTAATGGGTTGTGATCTATATGGAATGAGTCGAAATGGACTGAGCTGTACGACTCGTTAACATGCCTAAATATTAGTTGGGATGAAATGAGGTTGATTTTTTTAAAAATGGAATAAAACAATGGGTCATAACTCAATTCCCTCAACTCTTACCAACCAGGTTTAATTTATCTGTTTGCTTCTTGTAGACTGTAGTTTTAAAATTACCTAGTATGTTTTTTTCTCTTTATTGTGGCTTTATGTAACATATTAAAAAGTATTTTGACAGTTTCTCATAGTAAATTTGAGCTATATCTCCGTCTAACTTTTATATGAACTTAATTGAGTGAATCAAAATAGAATGAGTTAATGTTTTCTTTGGCACTCCTAGTGGAGTGGGCCGATTTGCCTCAATGGGCCAGTTGGGCCTGGCTTCAATAATGATAGTATATTGATGTAGACTGTTACCGAAAAGCCTGAAATCGCCATCTTCAATGACAGGAACCTGTCCAAATGGCTGCAGGAAGATAACAAAACGATTCGAAGCATAAGTAATTAATGTTATAGGTAAACATGAAAAAAATATATATATATGTTTACTTTTGATAAGTTAAAAGTGACAAGTAAAATATTAACCTGTAAAAGCAGGAAATCAGGTTTTTTCTGCTGGAGAGAATCAAGATCAACATGTATAAGTTCATAATCGACTCCCAATTCTATAAGGCAAACCATGACCCTTTGTGGACATGCAGCCATTGCTGAACCATACACTTTCACTACCATTTTTCCTCTCTTTTTTTCTTTTTCTTTTATGTGAAGTCCTAGTACACTAGGTTGAAGGTTCTGATAATATTCTTATTTATGATCAATATTCAATTATATTGACTATATACTTTCTCCTTAAATAGACAATTTCATTTGCATGAAAAAAAAAAAAAGAGGACCAAAGAAAAAGAGCTAGTAGTGTAGTGGAGGTTGTACTTGTCATGTGAGAATTAGGTGATTTTAATGTTTTTTGTTACGTTCAGTAGATGGACCACAGTGTATTTGAACTGTACTAGTAGAAAGTAAAGTGCTTAAAAACAGTTGTACTTGCTGGTTATATGATTGTACGTAAATTTGATGGACTTGAATATTTAACAACAATACAATTTTTCTTGTATTGGGGGTTGGCACGTGAAGATGAGCATCAACCAGTACGTGGTTGAGTGGAAAGTCCCACTTACCAAAGGACTAAAATAATAATATTAATTCTTATGTGGAATAATGGGTGCATGAGACAAAATACCCATACGCCATATAGTTACTCCTTCTATTTCAATTTGTTTCCACTACTTTTTCTTTTTAACTTTTTTTTTTTTAGTTTTTATATTTATATTACATGTTTAAGGCCACCAAATTTGATTGCCTTAAATATGTCATGTAAGAAAAAAAACTAAAAAAGAAAGTAGAAAAAATTATTAAAATACACAATTTGTTTTACCATAATCTCTAAAATTTTCAACCATTTAAAAAAAAATGAAAAATTCCCCTCGGATTCATCACTTCCCTCTCGCTGATTCATCCCTATCCCTCTCGGATATATCCCTATCCCTCTCAGATACATCCGTCCCCTCTCGGATACATCCCTCCCATGTGTATACGGATGTTTTATCCCCTCTCAGATACATCCCTCGTCTATGTATCCGGATGTATGTTGATGTATCTGAAATTCATAAATTTTAAGAGATTTTTGTAATTTGAAAAAAAGTAAGGAAATAATGTAATTAGCTCTTAACATTATAAGATTTATGTAAATTAGTACTATTTTTAATCTTCTTTATTTTTTTTAATTCAAGTCAAATCAAACACATGAAAAATAAATCAAAACGGAGAGTATTTAAGAGCGTAAGAATCCCTATATGCATGGTGTTAAAACTTTCTTTTAAAAGGGCTAGTGACTTGGTGTATGGTGGATGAATTTTTGGGAGAAATTAGAATAATCAACTCAATTAGCCTATTTTCTTTCAACAATGGTACTAACTCAATTAGTATTCTCTAAGCTTAGTGACAACAGTGGTACTTATAATAATAACAATAAAGCTAATAGTTTATTTATCAATTTGGCCTATTTTCAACTTCATACTTGAAACATAAAATTTAAACTTATGACAAAAAAGTAGTTTAGGTTCTAAATATACTTTTTGAACTTTAACTTTAAATAGTGTCCCACCCCCCTTCAAATGTTAATCAAATCATGTCGAAAAACGTACTTAAAAAATTAATATGTTTTATATATATATATAGTCAAATTTAATTTTTATTTGTTTGTGTATTTATATTTTAAAATTATTTTAGTAAAAAATTTGGTTGCATCAGTGCCTCCCCATGCAGTAAGCTACTTTGTAGTTGTTGGATTTTGTCCCCCTATTCTCAAGCAAGCTTTCATCAACTTTGTTGACCAATTCTTGACATCTGTTCGATTTATTTTATTCGGATTCATTTAATCTACCCAACATTATATTCTCAAGAAATTAAGAAAGATCTTTGATAAGATTTTCTTCCATTTGTCAAACTTTGTAAACATAAAGGGTTAATTAGCAAACTAATTTTCAGAAATAATTCCAAAGTATTCAGGAATATATATATGGCTAATTATTGATTTTCTCCAATTTGTTGATCTATTTGATTCAAAGTTGACATAGCATACTTCTCGAACGAAAGATGATATGAAACTCCTTGAGATATACTTCATCGTCTCCAAACAAGTTTATGCAATACCGGTACATACTCTTGGAAAAATAATTCTGTTGATCGATTCTCTGTTACTAAATAACATTGTCTACGAACGTCTTCACCTGATTTGATTGATTCGTTTGAGTTATGAAACCAATTAAATTGGATGTATACAAATTTTGATTTGATTCGACTAGTTATGACACTTTAATCTACCAAGAAATATTGCATATTGAATTTACAATCTACTTTTGATGATGATGATGATGATGATACACATGTAGCAAAAGATAGCTCATTTACAATTAAGTAGCTGATTTTCTTTAGTGTACGTATAGGCCTCTAATTGTCTTTCAAAAACTTCATTCATGTCTTTGCTAGTGGGGAAGAAGTTGACTTAGGGGGCACTAGAGATCTTGCATAAGCAATGGGCAACGTCAGAAGCTTCTTTGGCTTGCTCACATAAGCCCTCCTTGTGAAGTTGTTGTAGTCATTCGCTTCAATCTCGTCCAGTATCTTGCGATATAACAGCAACGACGCCAACACCTGCAGCAACAAAAAAGAGTCAGCTCATTCTTCATACTAGAACAAAGATTCACAATGTAAGCTCAATGCAAAATAAAACCATAAATGCATAGGCATGACGCACGCTGTTCAAGCTCTCTTTCCTCTCTTCTGTGATGAAGGAACATGTGATTTAGAGGATTTAAGAACTAGAAATCGAAAACTATGATACCTTTCAATGTCTACTAGTTACTTAGCCAAATGAGAGGAAACTATTTTTGAACTGAAGCCTATTCTGTTTTGCATAACAATGTGATGGAATGTGTCACTATAAAAAACTTAAGTTCATATTGTTTTTTACCTCACTACCATAACAATTAACAATAAAAGAAAAAGTAGCAGATACGTACGATCAACTGTAACTTTATGACTACTTACCGGCCATCTACTAGCAGAGCTCAGTTCTGTGACACCTTTTTCTGCCTCATCAAAGAATTTCCTTGCCCTCTGAATTTGCTTCTTCATAAAGATCCTCCACTTATCAGTCACTCTTCCAGCAAAAATGTCTTCATCGGAGAGCCCTGCCTGTGCTAATTCATCTTGAGGTAAGTATACTCTTCCTCTTCTTGCACTGTACAAAAAGAAATATGTTAAGGCATTTTAAGCACTGAACACATTGTACTTCAAACTAAAGTGAAACAAAAAGAATGGCAAAGTCGCCTGTGACTTTTTGGAAACAAAATGGAGCAATAGGAATTACTCTGTACTTATATCTGAGAAATAGACAACTCTTTTGATATATTTTGGCATGTTACTTAGGAAATGATCGATGTGAATTAAATATAGCTTCATACTTACTCTTCTCCTACATCTCTGAGTATATTGGTTAGTTGATTTGCGATCCCTAAAGCCAAAGCTGCGTTATATACACTCTCTGTCGTTGCCTTTGATTCAGGTGCAATGCCCATAATTGGAACACTCATCAATCCTACTGTACCAGCGACATAGTAACAATATAGATATAGTTCATCAAAGTTGTTGTATCTGGATTTCCACAAGTCCATACGCATTCCTTCAACCATATCTCTGAATGGCTGCACCAGGTAGATGAATAATCAGATACTTCACATGGAGAGGTTATTAAACACAAGATAAACGTCAGCCACCAGTGATAGCAAATGAAAACTAGTTGCCTAATTTGCTACTAATAAAATAACAAATATAAGTAGATAATGATATTAGAAAGAGATAGAAATACAAAGAAGAGAAGTATTGAATTCCACAAGTACTTGCATCAGAAAAGCACTCAGCAAAAGAGAATAGAATCTGAATCTGGAGAATATAATGGTGATAGAATTAGAGAGACTAACCTGAATATCAACAGGAAATCTGGAAACAGTATCGGATAAAGCTGCATCAAGCATATCAAATGGCCGCCCGTTGAAAATATCTTCCAGCCTGGCCTCCCACCTATCTAAAGCTTGTGGAGTTATGTGTGATGCATTAGGGCCATCAACAAGCTCATCAGTTCTCCTGCACCACACTGTTTAAAAAGAACACAGCTTTCAGACAACAAGGTCATTTATAAATATGCTTAACTTGCTTGAACTACAAATTAATCTAACGAGCAAGCCAGAAACACCACATATTTTTTCAATTTTAAGTGGAAATTTCTCAATGGCAAGATCTAGTCCTTCTTGGAAACGGAATACATGAAAGCACCAAAATTACCAGATATACCATAATTGACTATGCACAAACCTTGACCAAACTTTTAAGACTGCCAAACGAAACGGTAAAGAGAATCAGATCACCAGTTTTATACACCTAGAGACCAGAATGTTGTTAGTGGGAAGTACCCATAATGTTAAATTATCTGAATGCTACTTTCTTTAACCTTTTGGACTGTATAACAGCATAACTACCGGCCAGCGAAAAGTTGAAATTATGTCAAAGATTCCCAAGAAAGCTGATAAAACAAACAGTTAGCATGTTACACTTCTGTGGATCCAGTCTAATAATTTAGCATTTCTTCCACTAATTTTGACTGTTGTATATGGTATAAGAAATTAGATCTCTTCTCTTTATGCATATAATAATGTTTCACAAGCTAGTAGAGATCAACTTGCACCTATAATATTCCATGTCTAACTAAAATATAATTCTCTTTTTATGTCCTCAGCTAAGCACAGATATATACATAGAAATACTACATGTCTTGAAAGTTGAAACATCACCATATATTGCCCAGATAGCTCTTCTTCTGTCTGGAGTCATTAGCATGGTTCCTAAATAAGAACCAAACAAAAAGATTAAATTCTGTCTTCATCAACTAATACCTTAACCAAGAATTTGTAAACTAAAGAACAGATAAAAACAAAGGCTGAGACTGACCTAAGTAAAATGTCTTTGCATACTCTGCACATACTTCGCCACAACGATCATATGCTTCACTCAACAAGCCCAAATTACCCGGAACAACAACATCCGGTTTCACTTCTCTGTCCTCAGTAGATATCAGATGCCTCTTCACTAAAGCTGCCTGCTTCAATACCACCTCATACACCTTTTTCTCTGATGACACAGCCATTTCTCCAGCTGGACTAGCCACCAAACTGGACTGTACAGAAAAACTCTTTCCATTCTCAGTTCTTGATCTTCCTAAACACGAATATCTCAAATCTGCATTTAAAAACCCAAAATTCCACTCCTGTCTCCCACCTTTCTTGAATCTCCCTTTCCACATCGAATTCCTATTCCGAGATGGGAACCTGTTCCCTTCTCGGACTGAATCCAAGAATCCTGTCCCATTTAAGACCTCAGAATTCGGAGAAACAACCCACAACAAAGCAACAGACATGCTGAAACAACAGACACCTCAGGTAGCCTAAAACAATTCCCAAGTTTTTGTCTTTCCTTTTATGTTAACTTCTCACCTCAGCCTAGTAGATACCCACTAGAGTCTATCCACTAATTTCAAACAATATCAACGATTATAAAAATCGCATAATAAGAAAGTTAACCGACTTTGGCTTACACAAACAGATGTATAATGCACTCATTCATCATCAACAACAACCAAAAACCTTGTCTTTCTGAGTTTCTGCACAATGAGATAAACCAAATATACACAATGAGATACAGTTATGACCACTCAAAAATCATAAAGATTGAAACTTTATCAACAAATTTAAAAAGTATCCCAATACCAAGAATCACAAGCCAATTACTCAAAAATCATAACGATTGAACATGCTTTTTCACACTTTTTTCAAGTAATTGGAGCTTACTATATATAGTCAAATTAGATTATAATAAGCTCCCTTTCTAACTTTAATACACGTAGAGACTATCTAGAAAAGGAAAAAGGTGTTCAAATCCTCAATATTATATTAAGGAAAAATAAAAAACAGATTAATAATGAAAGGTACGGGGGAATTTAAAGAACTAACCTGCGAATAGCAATAGAAAGAAAGCTCCAATTAGTTGAACAAGGTTTTTTCTTTAACACATCAACGTCAGTTGAAAGAAAGTTAAAACAAAAAAAAAATGGTGACCTTGTTTCTGCTGATCACAAGAATTTTAGCAGCATTTTCTTGTTTAAATTACTGCTATATATTTTTGAATAGTTTAAGACCATTCAATTTATTTATTTTTGTTTGTTGTTCACTCGTGCTGATTAGAATTGAGTGATTCAGATTATATCTCCTCCTCTTCCTAGTTTCCACCTTTTAACCTTTGGTCACACTAACATTAGTTGTTGTTTTTCGGGCACGTAAAATTTCGCAGTTTCTATCACTGATGTAGTGCCGTGAATGTTATAATTTCTCCCTTAATCAAAAGTTTCAATTCAAGCTTTGAAGAGTGCACGTTACATATAATTGACAAAATGTAACATTATTTCAAAGTGAAAGTATTAGAAGTTTGGTTGATTAAGTATAGGAAATTGACCTGATTTCCACTTTTGTGCTACACGAGCTAACTAACTTTTGCGGGAATTGATGATATTATATACATAAAAGAGCCCACACAAGTCTAACAAGTTGTAACTACATTAAGTTTCCAAATAATAAGTGGAAAAGAATAGAGATCGAATCTTGCGATAGATAGTAAATAATTTCTTGATTATCAATAAAATGATAAAGTTTAGAGTGCAATGTCGGGCTCAACTCTCTTAATTTGCATGTCAATAAAATTCACATATTTAAAAATCAAAAATACATAATGAAAGTCACAATTTTCATAATCAAGAATATTATAATTTGACTTGGGAAATTGAATTATTTTTATTTTTATTTTGTATTTTGACACGTGGTAGGATGGTTCCCTAAAATTATATGTTAACTCTCTTTCTGTAATTGCTAAATATGAGCATTATTGAGTCCATTTATATATAAGTTATATTAAGTATTATTACCAACTTTAGTAATGGGGTAAGAAGATGTGTGTAAAGAGGACACGTGTAAATCACAGTCCAATCAGTGGAAGATAACGTTATCAAAATAAAAGTGGGCAAGCTGGTTACGATGTACATGTGGCAGTTTTTAATTGGATGAAAAATTCTTACCTGTAACCCAACTATGAGTCGGAGCGGGCCCACGGACTAGAAAGTGCTACTCCTAATCAAGTGGACTGTGGGTCCTACCCTTGTGGGACATACACCAGAAGGTACGAACCTAATTTGTCTTAATTTAATAAGAGGGTCTTTAATTTTTTCCACTTAAAATAGAATCTTTAATTTTTAAGCTTAAATCTCAAAATCGTTGATCTTTAGTTTTATCTTTGCGAGATTAAGTATTTCCTTCGTTTCAAACTTATTTTGACTTAATACAAAGTTTAATAATATATTATTTTTTGAATTTTATAATTTTAAATTAAATATATATCAAATTGTTCTTTAATCCTGTAATCTTATCATGGTTAATGGAGAAGAACTATTTATGCCTCATTAATTATTAATATAATATGAAAATGAAAAATGCAATCATCTCCAATTCATCTCTATTTTACTTTCTATTCTCTATATTTAGAGAGTGAAATAGAGAATGTTCTCTCTATTTTATATTTTTATTAACACAAAACTAAGTTAAGCAACTCTTTGAGAAATTTACCCACCCTATTTCTATTTCTTTTTATGTACATCATTCCCTTTACGTAGAAAACATGCAATACTCTACAATCGATATTCCTAAACCATTTATTTCAAAATAATTTGCATTTTAACTACTACTTTTTATTTGCATGATTCTAGAAGAGTACAAGCCAACAAAAAGAAAAATACTAGTACAAGTCTATAAAGTAGGCTCTCCTAAACTTTGCTGAAAAATAGAATGATCCATTCGGGCAGAAATAATATCAATATAGGTTTATTGGATGCACCTTTAATTTGTTATATGTTATTTACGTGCACGTTTCTGTAATTCGTCTCACTGAAAATTTTAATTTTCGCCTTCAATATTATTTAATAAATATTTATGAATTAAATATTTTTAGCTATAGCCTAATTTTACTAAGCAGACCTTTTAAAAATATATTTCCTCACAAATTTAATAATATTTAATTCACAAGATAAGACTTTTATAAAATTTTATCTTAAAATATAACTTTTGTTATTCAACCTATGTCTTATGTTATAACTTGTGTCATTGAGTTATGCCTTGGTTATAACTTGTACTATTATATTTATGCATTTGGGCATAATTTGGCTATAAATTTATGTCCGTGAACTTAACTTCTTTTGTCTCGAACATATAGCTTATATCGTTCCACTTATGTTTGGGGTATAATCAGTGGCAGAGCCATAATTTTTAATAAAGAGTGTCAGTGTTTGTAGTAAAAAAATAATTATGAGGCTAGTTGGGTTTGAACTCAAGCCTCAAGAAATTTTCACAAACCCCCCTTAATCACTATACGAAATATTGAATTTGTTTTAAGATATGTCAATACTTGTATATATATTTATTAAATCAAAATTGTAGCTCTGTAATTTTCCGATAAAGGGGTGTCGCTTGACACCCTAGGGCAAGGGTGGCTCCGCCGATGTGTATAACCAGTGTCATAAAATTTATGTTTAAATATAATTTATTCTTCAAATAGTACAATGAAAATGAATTGTGTAGAGGCAATAGTTTAGATTATTAAGTTTTTGTCATATCCTAGCTACTACATTTACTCTAGATCGATTGTGTTGCAAAGTTTGTTGATAAATTAATACACAATCAATATACAAAATAAATAAAGAAAATTATAATATAAGAATTTAATGATGATGATCCATCAATATTTTGCCACAAAATTATTTTACAATTTTTTTTCTAAATGAGGTCAAAACTTAAATAGAAACATAAACATATATTGAGAAATTGACATAAATAATAGATAAATAAAAGAAAATGAAAAGAAAGATATAAAGCAACGGAGTTGTCGTAGTCTGTTTTAACTCCTTTGCAAGGGAGGAACGAGTCACTTCCCTCACCATCAGCTAGAGCACAGTCTTCGCCGATCTCAAAGTTATCAACAAGACAAGCCCAATAACATGGCTCCGAGTTCTTTCCTTACTCAAACGTCCATCAAAAGAAAAGTCAATAAATGCATATTTTTGTATGATATATGTAAAAATATACATTTTTTGATATAAAATAATGTATAAATTTTGTATATTTGTTTAAATTGTAATTAATTTTGACCAACTGGCTAAATGTGTAAATTGCCTAATCATATTTGGGCCATTAGCTTTTGGACTTGGGCCCAGTTAAGCTGAATTGGCCCAGTAAATGAAACAGTAATCCAATTTGGCCATCAGCATTTTCTCTAACAAAAGAAAAGGAAAAAAACCCAGTTCCACAGCAAAGCCGCCATGGAAGAAGCTGAAGAATTGAACCTGAAGAGCTTCCTGAAATGGGCAGTGGAGCTGGGAATCTCAGATTCTCCATCAACTTGTACAACCCAATCAGATTCATGTTTGGGAAACACCCTTTGTGTCTCTAATTTCCCTAAAGCCGGAGGGTATGTATTAATCACAACTCTTATTTTTATTTTTATTTGGATTTTATTATATGAATCTGATGAGGCATGAATGATTTTTTCAATTGATGAAGGAGAGGTTTAGCAGCAGTTCGTGATATTAAGAAAGGGGAATTGATTCTTAGAGTTCCAAAGGGAGCGTTAATGACTAGTCAAAATCTTATGATGACCGATGAGGCATTCTCCATTGCTGTCAAGAATCACCCTTCTCTGTGCTCCACACAGGTTATTCTTCTCTTTAATATGGAGTATATGAATTAGAACTTGCGTTTTGCTTTGTTTTGGACTAGAGGTAGGAACTTTATGTTTTTGGAGTTTTATATGATCACCTAGTAATATGAATTTAACTCAATGTAATTGTTGTACTTATATGCTGAATTTTTATGTTGAGTCTGCAGTTTCTTCAAGTGTTTTTATAGTTAACGCTTTGCACCAGTTGGTTGTGCAAAGTGAATCAAATATCCACCGTCAGAGTGTTTAACACTTGTTCTACTCTAGTGATTTGTTTGGAAAGTAATGATGGTTTCATTCAATTTCATGTTTATGTTATTTGATCTTATTTTTACTGCAGATATTGGCTGTTGGATTGTTAAATGAAGCGAACAAGGGTAAGAGTTCAAGGTGGTGGCCCTATCTAAAACAGTTTCCCCGCAGCTATGACACACTTGCTGATTTTGGCAAATTCGAGATACAAGCATTGCAAGTTTGTAGCAATCCCTACAAGTTAAAATGTATTTCATAGTTGGAAAACACTTCTTCTGTTCACTGCATTGCTAATGTCTATCATAAAGCATCATAATTGACTGAAATTCACCATAAAAGACTTCATCTTATATATCTCCACTGCTTTTAGATTGATGATGCCATATGGGCTGCACAAAAGGCTTCTCGGAAGGCTGAAGAGGAGTGGAATGAAGTGACTCAGCTTATGCATGAACTGAAGCTCAAGCCACAATTCCTCGCTCTTAAGGCATGGCTCTGGGCCTCTGGTTCTGTAAGTATGGAGTGAACTCAAGTGCTAATCTGGAATAGTGCTATGCCATTTCTTACTCTAGTGGTCTGATTAGAAATCCCTAATCATTGCAAGATTCAAATGCTGTGTTTGATTCGTGATCTATCTAGCACGCTGTCTGTCTCCATTCACAATGTACTTGAGCACCACTGTCTATCAATTAGACAATTTCTTGACATATTCAAGGTTTAACATGAAAAAAGTTTCTTACTGAAGATCTCCTCGCGCACCATGCATATACCTTGGGATGAAGCTGGATGTTTATGCCCTGTGGGAGATTTCTTCAATTATGCAGCACCTGAAGAGGAAACATCTAATTATGAAGATCAAGGTGCTGGAAAGCCTTATTCTTTGCAAGAAAACGGTACACTTAAATCAGAAACTGAATTGGATGCTGCCGCTAGGCTAATAGATGCTGGATATGAGAAAGACGTTTCTTCATACCATTTCTATGCTAGAAGAAACTACCGGAAAGGAGACCAGGTGATTCTGAAATGCTTCCTTCCTTTTAATACTTCTTTTCTTTATGTGTGGCATTCCGTGAATTTATAGAAGTGGTTCCTTTCCATTAATAAGTTGTGAGGTGGATGCTCCATTACTTGATATTCAGGATATCAAAAGAACTACAAAAATGAACAGCGCTTGTATTGCATCA